ACGGATAAACACTCGACAGAAAGAAATAATCACTGCGTGACGTATCGGTGATAATAACGTTTCTAACTGGGGGTGGTACGCTATCAGACGCACGTAGACATATTATAAATCCGTCGTGTGATTTCCAAATAACCGTGCTGTGCTGTATAACTGTCAGAAAGACTAACAGCAGCTTTATAGCTTCGCTATTATAATTCAGCAAATACTATCATACGGAAAAAAACAGTCTTAAATCAATGATAGATATTCTCATATATAAGTAAGAATATTATAATATTCTTAGAAGATTTTTAGTCTTGAATTGAATACAAGTAATACTTATATCAATACAAATCCAATCAAATCAAGCGATTATGATTTCATTCACGACGACATCATCATGACGATATTATATAAAAATCTTCTAAAAAGGTTATGATATTCTTATTTATATATGAGAATATCTATCATTGATTTAAGGCTAGTTTTTTTCCGTGTTTACTATGTTATACGTTATAGTTTTAAAATTCAGGAAAAAACTAGTTTTTTTTCAATTTTTTCGCGATTTTTTTCTTTCTTATTATTAACGAGAAATGCCTCTTTATATTTTTTATAGATCTTTACGAAAAAAAATTACTGTGGCAGTTTTTAACCAATCATACGTAAATTTTTCTAAACGAATTTTTCTATCTTTAGAACACAGAAACTGAAGAAACCGGCGGAAAAATGGAAAAACTGGTTTTTTCCGAAACTTTAAAATTATAGTCGAGCGTTAAAACAGCCTCTTCTTTCTCCGTTGCCTGTTCATTGTCCGTTTGTTTTAAACGTTTTAAACGTTTCTATTTTTGCCTTCTTCTCGCATAAGAAGGCTGCGGAAAATATTTACCGCTAAGATTACACCTCACGTTCGTTCACATCGTGGCACACGTGTTGCGTACAACGCGGTGTTCATCGGGAATAACATAAATAAGTGCGACGCAACTACGCGTAGCGAGTAATTTGCCACGCATTTGCAACGTACAATCAACGTTTCGAATCAGGTTTTACATTCGACGGTGACAATTTCACACGTAAGTGATTAAAATAGCCTTAAATATAAGGCGAAATGAGCGCCGGACCGTTTACGCACGAACAAACACCGCTCGACTCGTGTCCAACTTATCGAACGCACTCCGGTATCATTTCGTTTTCAAATATATGACCTTTACAAAAATATTTCACCGCTTTTATTTCTTATACGGCTTGCTTTTGGTCTATTTTTAATCCGTTCTATCATTTTTATGTCAGTTTCCTGCATTTTTAGACACGCATAGACTATCAAGCGAAGAAATATGATGAGTACACGTGAGTATGTAAGTATTTTTGAAAAAATTATCCGTCTTCAACGCTAATTTTTCAGCTGATGAGCGAGAACACGTTTCTCTTTTACTCAGTTTCGTTTCTCAGTTTCGTTGTATTAAAGAGTTGTTCATTTATTCGTGCTATTTCAAAATGTGCAATGTGAATGCTTGCGAGTGTTAAACGAGTATTTTGTACTCATAGCTGAATGTGCGTTAACACATCTCAAATTTATGTAGTACCATACTACTTTATTCAAAAATATTTAATAGTACGCTTATACCACTAGGATGTACTCGTGTGAACCGTTTTAATTACTTATTTTTTAATCGGTCCTTTCCGATCCGAAACGGAGTCATATTCATTCATAATCAAATGCAAGCTTTCACTACCATTACCAAACTTTCACGAACCATTTTCGCGAGCTAAAGGCGGTGAAATATTTTTTGTAAAAACACCTGTGAGTGCTTCGCGAAAGAATCGATATTACTCGAGTCCGTCAAACCGACAGTGGTCCCGTTTGCTAAGATACAACGAATATTTATCATCGCCAAATATTAAACCTCGGCTGCCGCGACACGAGATACATACACGTTGCTGGGAAAATTCATATACGCGTGAATACAATGTGTAAGCGTTAACTCCTACGCAATAACTACAAGGATATTATGTATTCTTCTATGCGCCCTGGTCGCCGCTAATGTCCGCGTCATTAGCGGCGATCGATTCAACGTAAAACGGTTAAATATAGCGGCTTACTATTGCGCGCCGACGCGAAATCATATTGCCGCGTATTTGAAAATAGACAGGTCCGCGCGGCTGGAGAGTAAAAAGAGAAACACGCCTTGTGCGCGCTATATACCGGCCGGCGCTTTTCGCCACAAAGTCCGAGAAGTCCAAGAAGAACGAGCGTGCGGCCACGGCTGGTGTGTGTACTTTCCGGCTGGCGGCGAATCGATCCGCCTCGTGCGCTTCCGTGCATTTTGCATTTTATCGAACGGTTCTCCGGGCCGTATGCGTGACGCTTGGATCCCCTTCTATATTTACACATGCGTGTGCATGCGCCGCAAATGTGCACTCGGTTCCCCATGAACCGGCCAGAAACCGGCGTTGACTCTTGCGTCAACGGCTGCCGCGAGCGCTGCGCGGTGCAACTGTTACATGGTTACCCGTCGCTCACACATGGTTTAACCTTAACCCGGTTTCGCACCTCGCACACGTCGAATACGGTAACGACGGATAAGCAAGTGGTCGACTGTGCGAGGCTGTCGCGCACAGGCGGTTGAAATAACCGTCGAGGGAAGTTTTATTACCACCGTCGTCGTCGTCACTGCATTTGCGTAATTTCCAACGTGAGTCGCGCGAGGCGCGATTTGCACGGTTCCATTTCAATTTTCTTGCCCACCGTATCTTCGTGGCAACGAAATGTGGCGTTCGCTATTCCCGCTACCTGCACGGCAGCGATAAGCGCTAATAACGATCGACGGAAGTGAGAATGAAACACCCAGACAGATGTGGATATTTTTATCTTGTTCCGGTGGATTTGTCGCCTCGAAATGAAAATGTACAGCGCAACGGATGAATTTCGGCTAGATTTTTTCTGACGTTTATTATATTTACGAATTATGTTTCCTTCCGGTTTTCGTATTTCGCATTTCTGTTAAAAGAAATTCATTCGTTTATTCATTTTTATCATCTACGCGAGCTCGGAATTTATGACTTTCTGGACACACTCGTGCGGAGTTCGCAAACCAGGTTTGAAATGTGTCTCGTTCAGCGTTCGGAAGTGATTACTATGAATGATATGTTGCTCGCGATTCGCGTTATACGTTTTTTTATGCTCGCATTATCATGCATATACGCAGAGAAATTTTATCGCGTGCCTACGTGTTCAGCGTCACGCAAGAAGTTTACTAAAAAGATTCGACGAGAGAGAAGATGCAGTAACAATATCTTCACGATGATGAGTCACTGATACAGCGAGAATTATCACGCCTCCATAGACTCAACATAAACAACAGCGTCATAAATCCATGCAAATCCACGCATCTTTTCTATTGTTCCTCTGTTAAATCGCTTATATGTTAGACGACCACAGAGAGAGGTTCGTGAGATTAAAAAAAAACACAACGCATCTGAAATTATTTTTTACAAGTTTCAAGAATCTCACTTTATTTAGCCATCTATGAAGACAAATTTTGTTTGTAATTTTGCAGAAAGAAGCATAATCGTTTACGCGGGATTCAGTTCATATGAACGAAAAGAAATATCTGTGCAAGATTTGCATGAATACGCGTGCTATTCGGAAAAAGTTGGCAAATATGAAGAGAGGCATAAAAACACCACGACGGATCGGTTACGATATGTCATTTATCTTACTCGACCAACAAAAACCATAGGCAAATATTGTTTGTCTGTTACTCGAAAGACACATGAAAGACACTTGCTCATAATTTAAACGATTGCACCTGTGAAGTATAAACAACGCGATAAGAAGATCGTGCAAATTCTTTTTGTGGAACGAAAACAGATCTGCCTTTTAATTTCACGGACACAACTGCTACGTTACATAAATATCGTAAGAATTACTGGCTAATAATATTTCATAACGAGTCGAGAATATCAGATATGCTCTGATAAATGCTTCGCAATTATCATCAGACATTGTCATGTGATCGCTTAATTAGCAAATCAAAGAGCTTATTTCCTACTTAGTTATACCGGAGTGTTAATAAATGTTCTTTTGACATGTAACATGCATAATCGTTCATTATCTTTGCATTGGTGCTTTTGCACGAAAATGCAAAAGCGTAATCTCAAGGAAAAGGTTAAAAAAGAGGTGAATGACATTATGATAATGGCGGAAGTGGTCTAACTTCCTGATAACACATTGTAACATCGTTTTCATTCACTCCTGCTTTTTACTCCTCCAAGAATGTGTTATTAAATCTTCGACACACAGTAAAAAGCATTTTATACTTACGTTAAAATCGGTTCTTGATCCATTTCTATGTTAAATTTTTAACATATCCGTATGTTAGTTAATTTAACATGTTATGTTTACGGTACGTTTATTTTTTATGTTTATAACATATCATGTTATCTCAATATATTTTGTGTTGAGTCAATATTGAACATGTATAAGTGTTAAAATAACATATTTTATAGTTCAGTGTCGATTAACATATTATGAATGTTTTAATTTTATGTTAATTTTTGACGTAATATTTGTGTTATTTTTCAATGTATTTACCTTGTATGAAATTAACATAAAAATTTGTGTGGACCTGAATTGTTTGGGACGTTTGAAATGAGTTAACACAAAATTTTCTACTGTGCAAACTCGCTCGAGCTCTGGTGGAGAGCACATTGGAAAATTTATAATCGTGACTACAGAAAAGAAAAAGGACAAACATTCGATCCTTCAAATACTTCATTTGAATACTATGCATCATCTCTTCATTTGAATACTATGCATCATCTCTCTATCATAAACTCATGACTCTAACATTTAAGAGAAATATATTTGTTCACTGATTAAAGCGCAGTCATGCCGATCGGAGAAGCAGCACGCTTTTCGAATAGATCGACTAAAGGAAACGTGAGAGGATGCTGCCGACGGTTAAGGAAGTCAACCGATTCAGCACTCGCCGTCAGGGTCGTTGGAAGGAAACTTTTCTTACCTGAACTGATCCCTGCTGTGATGCCAGGCAGCTTGACGCCGATATTGACTTGGGAATTCGTCGCACGCACTGTTTTAACTCACTGAGTCCTTGATTCTCTGTCGATCGGCAGTCGTTGCTCTTCTGTGCATCAGTTAAGAAGGGGCCCAATCGTTCCTAACGGAGCTGCCCTCGTGACACACCAAGGTAACGTACTCCCACGACGAAGACTCGGCGCAGACTGACGCGGCCGCCGTTCTCGCGGCTTGTCTAACCCACGCTGCCAGTTACCACCGAAGTCAAGCGAGGATATAACGGCGCGCCATTGATGTCGGCTTTTCAGCCAGTGCTTCTCAAGCTGTCGCACAAAATAACGGAATCGGACGAGACGAATCTTGCTCGATTCGCAATTCGTTTATCGTGATTCATCTTCGAGTTACGAGCGCGCATCTCGGTTATGATGTCGTGAGACAGACAATGGTAAATTAAAAGAAAGTTTCGTATCTTCGGGGAGCGACTCGGTCAATCATTTGATTATTTGAAAAACACAAAGAATCATTCAGCAAGAAAAGTACTCAGAACAATGAATGCAAGAAAGCATTAATAAGAAAAATATAAGATTTTCGTATTTGTAATATATCATGTATAATATGTCTACCTCAACTTCGTTTCAAATTAATATTTATTATATTTATTATATTAACACATTGCATGCGGGTATATTTCGCCGCGTGTAACGGGCGTTTTTTCGTGAATTTCGTGGGAGTTTGGTATTCAGTAAAATATTCAATTAAACCAAGTAACTCGACAAACTAAATTTCTAAAAAGAATGGAAAACAATGGAAATCGTTGCCTAGCAACACAAACACCGTACACATTTATAATGTCCATCGTATTTATACAATACCCGCTCTCCAGCACAAATCTACTAAATATGTACTTTTACATACCCCGCGCTCTAGTGACAGACTGCAAAAAACGTAAAAATACGTTTCTCTAAAATAGTGATATAATATAGAGGAACGTGATTTTGCTTGATAAATATCCGATTTATGAATGGCTTCCTTGATATACCATTGAAAAAACAATATCCAGCGCTACAACTATTTTAAAGAAAGGAACTCTCATATCAAACCAACATTAACTACAACTACAAATGCTGGTACAAACAAATTGTACGAACTAAATTAAAGATTGAAAAAAGTCATTACCGTCATTTACCGTTTGTAGAAATCAATCGTTATTAGCAATAATCGACGTGAATTTCCTCAGTGGCATTTCCTGGAAGCCTTGTATTTCTCATATATTTCCCGATAATAAAAACTCAAGGTTATATCTCGCCTAATCGATTCTTATTTCGGGCTAAATCCGTAGAAAAATGCGTATGGGAAAGTTTTGGAACGTTGGTTAATTGATATCCGTTAGCTGTGTGGTGGAGCGAGAATCGACAATAACAGTTTGATAACAAGGTAGTCGACAATGTCTCTGAGCGACGACTGCTTCGATAATCACATCGCGACAGCATCTCATATGGAGCAACGGTATAATTAATCGCGCTGAGAGATGAGGAAAAAACGCGATTTTAAGTCAGCGCTTATTTGTACGTCAAGCCATATTCCCACCTGACATAATCCGGCTTTAAATCAAACTGTAAACTGGTAATGCTATCAATGTTGATTCACGCATGAAACGGGCGCGAGATGTCGCAAAATCAAATTGTAACGGAAACTTTTAGTTCTTCCACAGTTTGTTGACGGCTGGAAGAAAAGTTTTAACGAAAAAATTCAGTACACGTCCGGTACATTTATAATCGCACTTGAATATTAGAGTGTATTCTTTAACGGTACGAACCAAAATTCGTATGTATACGAAAAGAACGTTTAATTTTCAGTTTACTTTGTAAATGATAATATTATTAATGAAAAGTTTTAAGAAAATGGAGAAAATCTCCTTCTTTCTTTCCGACTAAGATATTAACGACAGAAGCGAATCAACGTACCTGTGGATTCGCTTCCAAAAGAAAAAATAAAAATAATCAATAATCAATATTTTGACTGGCAACAAAAGCGAGGAAAAGCGAAAACAACTTGTTGATACAGTCTCGGTGAAACGTGCGCATATAGCGTTGTATTCGGTGCTTTTCATTCATCAAAAGTAGAAAGGCATGTAACGATCGAAACTGCAACAGGTGAACACCCGAGGAGCCAGCTCTAATCTATTTACGAGCTTGATGTCATGGAGTGGGCTTTTACAAATAAGAATCAACAGATATCAAATATGTTTTTCTTATCAGAGAGGCTCATATCTGTAGCTCGCGAGACATACTTGTGGTGGTAACAATTTTCGAGACGATGAAAATAATAGGTTCGAGGTTCACGAAACGATTTGGAAAGTCTCCGCTCGAGGTAATTCAACTCATTAGCCAGATAAGAGATAGCACCTTCGTGTTCGATTCGCTATAATTAAACGAGAGATAATCGTTGAATTAGTATTATCGTTAACGTACGATCGGTAGGCCGAAACTACTTTCTTGTATAATTAACGTGGCATTTCAGCGAACGTGCGTACAAAAGTATCGACAAATTCGGCGAAGGAACGTTCGGTAAAAATGCAAATGCAAATAGCACAGAGTCGAAGCGAAAATTAAACTATTTTACAAGCAAAAATTATTACATTTTGAACCAGACAATATATTTCTTATAGATTTTTAGATGCTGAAAATATATCTCGATACCACAAACTAAATTTCATCAGCACATCAGGTTCCAAAAGATTTTATGTGCAAAATGGTATTTTTACGATATTTGAAATTTTTTTATAAGAAAGGTTAACATTATTTGGAAATTCTGATCAGAAGTCATAAATGTATTATTTATCCCCTGTGAAATGAATATTTTTATTTGAATATCTTACTTTAGCTACATTTTGTACGATTTAGCCATATTATGAAGAATATGTTATGAAAAATTAAAGCTAGAAGTTATTTTTCTTTGCACATGGCTATAGAGTCCGATCTACTGCCTCCACTGCACATATTGGTTTATACAGATCGATTAATTCTTCATTAACTATTGCGAATTTTGCATAATGTTACGTGACTACTTTTCTGTTTAGTTTAACCTGTTCTACCTACACACGAGCACTATCAAGGTTTTCCTTGTGTATATATTTAACGAAATCTATCACGATAAATTACATTATGTATACATATATCGATAGACGCAAAGTATAGATTATAAGTACATATGACTTCATCCTAGTCTAACTTCAACTTCGTCGCAGGTGGAAAATGTTTTATCTTTAGCAAAATTTTGTATTTAAATCCTCAATAATATGGCTAAAGAGTAAGATATTGAAATTAAAAAAATGCATTTTATAAGGGAACAATACATTCATGACTTCTGATCAGATTTTCAAAATAACGTTAACTTTTCTTATAAAAAAATATCAAATATCACAAAAAGAGTCATTTTTGCAAATAAAACCTCAATTATTTTGGAAACCTGACGTATTGATGAAATTTAGCTTGCGGCTATCGCTTTCAAAATCCAAAAATCAATAAAAAACATCTTGTCTTGTTCAAAGTAATAAAGAAAAACAATTTTTTTTTGTAAACTAGTGTTATTTACGAAATCTCAGAGCACATCTCATGCGCTCAGGTCTAACACACGGTTAATTAGTAAACGCTCAACTGCGCCGTTGAATATTCGCTCGATGTTCGCGTCTTGTATGGTGCTGTTGATTTACCGTGAAATACGAGGCCGACAAACGCTGAGAAAGAAGCAAAAACAGCGAACGCTGTCCGCCAGACAAGTCGTGCGTATGGATATCGTTCTTCGCGCATCTTCCCTTCCCCTCTTTCTTTCGGTCCCATTCGTTTATCAAGGTCACCCGGTTTTAAATGCGGAACCGTTCATCCGTAGACATCACTTCGAGTACCCACGGATTTTCTGCACTGTATAATACTTCCTAATCATTTCTTTGTTACTCATTCTTGCATCACTCTCCAGACGTACTCGATAGATGTCCCGATGAGATTATTCTCGCTGACGCAATTTTGTGTAATCGATATTAGAAGTTCTGCGACTTCGATCTACGAAAGCATTTCGCACTGGGAACCAATTGGAAAAGATGAAACTGTTAGGCCGAAAAGCGGATAGCAAGATATTTTGAAACGCTATCCGAGAAATCCTGGAATTTTCTACACGTGAATGTAGATTGAACGAAATAATTAGTAGTTGTAGCTGAGAAATTAAGGTCCGGTTTTTCATTTTCTGGTTAATTTGTGGTTTAAATTTAAACTGATGATAACGCAGAAATTGAGTTTTTCTATTTATGGTTAATTATTAAACTGATGGTTTTATAATGGTATCATTAAATTTTGAAAGTTTAATGATTAACCATGAATAGAAAAATATCATTTTTACATTATCATCAGGTTAAACCTAAACCACAAGTTAACTAGAAAACATGAAAAACCGAGTCTAAAAGATATTTTTGGACTAGTAAAGGTCCTACTTTCGAAACACCCCTGCTATAAACGGTTAATTTTGTGGACAAACTCACGTAAACCGTTATTATTTCAAGTTAAATATACGAATCCGCTTTCGGGCAGCATTCGGGCATCACAACGTTTGTAAGAGCAATTAAAATACGTTATCAATGTTTTTCGCAATCACATCTCGGCTCGGAAAGGAGACGATTTCAAACCGGTAGGTAATCAGCGTGAACACGAAGATACCGAGAGTGTCCTCTATTTTAACAAAGCGTACCAATGTAAATATATGGTGAGCGCATTTTAATAAAGCTGCTCGATAAAGCCATGATACAATAGCGAAGTGTTAATATTATTCCTCGTGAAATCATGTGTACACACACGTAGGATAAATATTAACGCACGTGAATGTCAAAAAGAATGGGGCCGAAATCAACCAGTGCGTTTATATTTTATTTTTATTTATTTATAATTATATTTGCGCGTTATATAAATTGTATTTTTTTAAAATACGATATCTTAGCGATAAAATAGATCTTTGCAAACATGCAATATTCACAAAGATATTGATAAAGTATGAACAAGTTGGATTTGCCCAGTTAAAACAATGTAATTTATTTATACAATGCCGCTAGAGAAAGAGAAAAAAATAAACACTATTTGTTATCTATAATTTGATCGTCCAGATAGCCAAGGAATATTCTATAATGTATAATTGTAAATTTTCTATAGCTATTTTTTAACAAAATAGTTAATAATTCTGAAATTGTTGCATAATGTCTTTATATTAGTCCTTAATGTCATAGCAGTTTTCTATTAAAATCATAAATGTGATTTAGAAGAAATTAAAAATAAAGATTAAAAATAAAAGTAAATTAAAAATAAAATAAAAATAGATTAAAAATAAGAGGTAAAAATAGGATATTAACTTCAAATACATATAAAAAGTGTCATTTAATTGTTTCCGAATAGTCAATCGTTTCCTGCGGCAATAATTTGATTATATTTAAATTTATATATAATGCAAAAGTTTCAATGAATTTTTAAAAATATTTATTTTATCGTACAGTTATCTTAAGAGAACATTCGTATTTCAGTAAAACACTCATAGAATATCTGAGATCCACGATCGACGACCTTGCGAAAAATCAGTCGACTTATTAGAGCGAAACGAAAGTGAACGTTAAAAACATATTGCGTTAACATACGGGAATTGGAAAAATAGAGATTATACATAGAGAGAGAGGAATAATAGAGAGTGAACACGTTTTAATAATTTAAAAAATTGAGAAATACATGAGATAAAATACTACAAATGTATCCAAACTTTACGTAAGCCGCGTAAGACTTTTCGCTCCTGTGCAAACGGCTGTTTATACACAACAAGCGAATGGAAAAATTTGAATATATGCAAATATTTGCAAGGCTGGCCAAAATAATCTGCGATCGACATAACTACTGACATCAGGAAGGAGCCGCGACGCGTCCTTGTGAACAAGTAGCGCCTTATCGGACGACTAAAATATTTCAGCTGGAAAATCACGTACATTATTGACCAAAAAAACATAGTTTATCTGCGCGCGCTGATAGGCAATCACTCGACAAACAGTATTTAACCATGCTGGTAGATAAGTATCGCAAATTCGTTGAAGCAAGACGCGAGATAAATGTACAATGGCACGTAGACGTCTCGTGCCTGTGGTAATCCATGCAAATAGCAGACCCGAACGAGGACAGACCGATGCAAATTTTTATTGAGCTTACATGTGCAATTTTGCAAAGTACAGCCGGCGCATTAACGGTTCATAAAAGAGCGTGTGGAATTCGGAGATATGGAGATACATATTTTTAAATTGAACATAATCCTCGTTGGCACATTACACGATTGTTATTTCTGGTTAAGTGGAAGAGTCGGCGTAATTATGCAAATTACAAATAAGCTTGGGTCGGGTCGCGATAGCTTGCGCCATCGCATAATGTTGAGGTCTTGCCATAATGTTTCGGTATAATATCGCACTTGTGGGTTGAGAAAATAATTAGACGAAAATAAGTTAGATGATAATATAATTAGACGAATAATACATTATGTGTATGATAATTAGATGAATTAGACGAATAATACATTATATGTATGATAATTAGTTGAATTCTCTCTTTTATTAGAAGTTTTTGTAAGAATTTCAACTTAAATAATCAAGATACATGGTCGTGCCAAGTGCACGCGCGACCGTATATATTTACGCGACGACATGAGTTCAACGCAGACAAAATTTCTCGTTCAACTATTACGATTAATCTGATGGAATTCTAGATAGGTTTAATCGATTCCTTGAGTTACATTACTTAATAAAACTGTTTTTACTTTCGTTCTACGTTGTCTAGAAGCTAAGTTATTTTAGTTCAAAGTCTGAAATGGTGAATTGTAAGAGGCGTTTCCTCGTCATAGTAAGTAAATAAAAGAAAAATATAATACAAAAATGATATATGTACACATAAATAAGCTGTTATTTCTTTAATTATATCTTGATTTATATTCACGGAGAATCGACGATTTTAATGAAATAGATAGTGAAAGGAGGATTGAATAAGATAGAACAATTACGTTAGAATAATTAGAAAGCTTGCATATTATTTACTAATATGAACAATATTCTTGACTAGGTATTAAGTATATAATAGATGAAAAAATTACATTTATTCATATGATTTACATAGTTGCTATTTTTACTGTGTTTTGATATTCACATAAGGTGCAAAATCGGTTGAACCATTTGATAGATAATAAAGTATTAAAACTTTGACGTGTGAGCCTTGTAACTGAATCTTATAAACAAATCTTATAGATATACTTATATATATATATATATCTTACTGTATTTATATTATAAATCTTATTTACTGTATACATATGTACATAGCCTGTCGGACAAACCTTAATTTAATAGAAGTCTTTGTCAGTTCCTGGATCTCATGCTGTTACTGCCACTGGTTCCTGAATTTTTTCTTTCGTACGACCTTTATCTGGTTCTGGCAAGTCCTTTGGCACTTCTGGTAGCAAAACATCTTCTGGTACTTCAGGAGCCTTCTCCTCAATCTCTGCTTCCAATAAAGCATCCAATTCAGCCTCAACTTCATTTTCATCTTCCTCAGTTAGTGTACCAGATAATATTTCATCTATTTCTTTTTGCTTCTCAATACCCTCTCTCGTCTCATCCATGACCTTTTCAATCTCGTCGATGGACAACAAAGCATGTAGCTGTTTTAATGCGTTATTACCAACTTTTAGGCCATCAACTACTTTCATCTCGATTTGAGCAAATTCCAAGTCGTGAACCATACGTTCAAGATTCTCCAGCTGACCATCTGTACGTGACAGCACTTGTTCCTGAAATCTTTTCTTGCGTAACAGAAGCAACGCACGGCTGTAAAAATTATTAATAAATAAATCTACGATATAAAAAAATTAAATATAATAAAAGGCGTTTCTCTCTTTCTCTATCTCTCTCTGTGCGACATCTAAAAATGAAATAATTTATACTTACTCTTTCTTCCCATTTTTCAAAAGTTCCTTCGCGAGCACTCGTTCTTTCTCCAAGGCTTGCTCAATCTTCTTCTGGTATTGCTTAATTTTATCTCTTGTTTGTTTCAATTGCTATGTAAATATAAAAGCGCAGATGATCCGTGACAGTTTGGAGGTTATAAATGTACAAATATTATCGACATTTATATACTACATCGGATATCATTTCTCGTTTGTAATGTGTTGCAAATCGAATAATTGTTAGCAATTTACGGATTACGTCAACCACGATCAATAATAACAGACTGATTGAGCACTTTCGGGTTAATATGAGAACAAAAAGGTTAAGTCAGTCACTCACCAGAACCGCCTTGTCTTGTTCGGTGACGCGACTCTGATGCTTCTTTTTGGAGAAAAAGATCCCCATTTTGGTTGCAATGTTGCGAGACGTGAGTCGCGAATTAAATTAGCATTCGATCAAGTCACGTCACGTTTGACAGTTGTCGCCGATAACCACTCTACGAACCAGGCGGCAACCATATTAGCCGTTCGAGATACTCGAGAGTGGCGTTTGCGATTTTCAACAGCGCGCCAACGTTAGCAGTGGACGTGATGAAAAAAATAAGCATCCAAATAATCGATTATAAACCGATCGGTTATAATGTTAAAGCTTCCCGGCAGTCGATTACATAAATAATAACTTCGACAAAAGATGCTCTTCTAAGTTCCTGTTGAGTCTTACTTAAGAGTAAAGAAACGATCTAATTTGCCGTTGAGTCGTACATATTATTTGAAAATAAAAGAATTTCTAATAAAAGAGACATTCCCCACTGACCTGTCTTTGAGTAGTGTTACAATCTTGATTTCTCGTTGAAGTCGGTGCACTCCTTTCGTGGCGAAATTTCGAGACTAATAAGAATAATTGATCTAACCGTAAAACTTGGCTCAGCTAAAATTCGATTCCTATAAAGCTGACTCTGCCTTACCGAACGTTCTTCTCTGACGCTACTAGATGGCGCCTGAAATCTATTTTCAAGCGGCTCGATTCAACGTTTAGTTGGAGGCCATTTCGATTTTCAAACCGCACAACTCAACATCGGATTGCGTGAACTTTCCGTTCTTACGTGTCACCAGGTAACGGATCGGGTAAACGTTTGTCTCCGTCGATGAGGAATGAAGGTCCTGCTGACTTGACGGTGAGTTATATTACTTAAATGTGAAACCCGATTGGAGTTTCGTTGTGACTTGAACCAAGTGAATATTCCAACGTAGAATCGTGTACGTGCATGTCTGAACAGTACATTGCTCGCGAAAAATATGCAAAGGATATTCCTCAGACCGTATTCAAGTAAATGTTAATTTCATATAGCAAACTATTTATCGTAACAAAATAAATATTTTCCGAAAAGTATCACGCTATAAGAGAAATACATGAATATAACAAGTGATAGTGCGCCTACGTTTGCCTTAAGCCGGTTTCAAACGTTGTAGCAAGTGTAGACAAACGTCAGAAATTATATTTATCATGTATGTTATATTATTTATATGTTATATTACATTTGTTATATTATCACATATGTTATATTCGCCCAACATATGTAATCAATATAATTACCAACATTCGTCTACATTTGCCACATCGTGTGGAACCGGCTTTATGTTAGATTAATCCTTCCGTTAAATTTTACATTATGCATCACCACCCACGCTCGACCACGAGTAGCACAAATTGGTTAGTTAACCGTTGCCCAACGTTGGAGATGAAGATGGACAACGATAAGCTAAATAATTTATGCTGCTTGGTACCGTGATTGAATCGATTCATATATCATATTTTCATAGTACTGTCGAGTAATGTTTGACGATACGCTGAGGTAGGAAGCAATAAACCACAGAGACAATAGATTGAATTGAACAATGTCCATTATATTATATGTTTTATTCCCACATACACACGGCACGTTGTGAACCTTTTCTTAAATATTAATAATATTATCATAATAATAATAATAATCATATATAATCGTCCTCATCATCATCCTCATCATCATTATTCTCGTCATCGTCGCAATGATAATAATTTCAATAATCATAAGTAAACAATAATAAACATAATAATGTGAATTCATGAGTTATATTTATATTTATGTATATATATATATATTTATAATAAATCATATAGCAATAATCATTGTATTATAATATATATTTATATGTACAGAGGGGTATAATATTGTTATTCTTTATTAGTTTAATATTTATAATCGCAATATTATATATTTATTTTTGTTTGTATACATACACAATTAATTAGATTATCGGCCCTCGCACGCGCCACACTGTGGCGGATAATTTCTCACTTTCTATCTTTTGTTCCTATCTCGCTTTCTCCTCACTTGAATATCCCGGGACCGAGTATTCCCCCGCTAATCGCTCGAGTATCGCGCAATCGACCAATCCCGTATTATCTGTGTTTTTTTTTCCGTTTGAGAATCTCACCGCCGACGGAATCCGCTCCAATCGATCGGTCCAATCGATCGATTCGCTTGCTCGAACGCAACCTCGGCGTTCCCCGCGATCGTTTTGTTTTTATCTTACAAAACATCCATTATAGTCTGGCCGTTTTGGACAGAGAGTCGAGTTCCTCCCGCCGCCTAACTTTCGCCCCTTCCTCCCCGGGCTTTCTCGCTCGAGTGATTGAACGGGTTGTGTCGATTTCTCGCGGCTTCATACGATCGCCGATCGCGATTTTTTTTAACATTCGCGGGAGGAGGATTCCTCGGTTCTCCTTCCAGCAGCGGGCCCTTCATAAATATTCTGTACAACGTTATAATTATTATAAATCATCAATATATCTTATATAGTCTTATCGTTATGTCATTATTATCGGTAGTGTAAAATTGAAACCTTTACGTACTTATGTAGATTAGATTAGCGTCTGCTCGCTCGCAGGCGGCCTATCGTTATGTATATATACCATTTTTTGTTCTTTTTTCCTTTTAAGTCGATACATAATCGTATAATTTAGTATATCGCTATATGTACTGTAATCGTTTACGATTAGTAAGAATATGTAAAATTGTTATTTTTTTTCATCTTATCCCTTGGCTTGCTCGTTTATAATTTTAATAAACCTCGTTTAAGCATCCACATAATCGTTTAATATACATGGAATTAAAAGGGGCTTAGTTATTGCTTGTTATATTGCAAGTTTCCTCATTACAAGCTGTGCCATGGCCGTCGAGCTTTCTCACGTTCGCCGTTGCTCCTTCTCATTCATTTTTTTGTTAATCTCTCTTTTTACCGCTATCGCGATCCTTTCGCTGCGAATCACAGAAAGTATGCCCGAAAGTTTGGTTTCCTTCGTTCGCTGCATCACCGATGTGAATGTTGAGGCGATGTCAAACCTAATGTATCACATGAGCGTGAGTTTGTCGAAACGTCGTAGAATCTAATTGTTTTCGAAACGAATCGAGATTTAATGTGTTCGTAACGTCAGAAATCGACGACAGTACATATCTCTTAATTCATCGGTTGGCGTCGGCACGAAATAATAACCCACGACGACGAACATACGAATCACTCAGCGCTTAATATAACAATGTAAATTTTTCAGATCATAATTTTCACCAGAGTGCGATGACAGATCGGTCCGTGCGATCGCTTTTCTGAACAACTTAGCAAACGTTTATGTCATTGCACATGAATGTGAGAAGGATGCTTTTGCGAGTATACAGTTTTTCTCAAACAATATTTACACATGACTTTAGAAAACTTAGAAACCCAAGAAAGGGCATTTTTTTTTACAGTACATAACGCTCTAGCGCGTCGTTATTTATTGCACATGAGAATAAAATATAAATTTTTCGAACAGTTGATATAACGCTAAAAATTACTAAGCCGTGTCACCTGTCATACACGCGCAGATTCATTTGATATGTAAATTTTAACGCATGTAAAACCAACCTATTTTCCGCTTCGTGTCTTGATAAGTGAAATGAGCGCGTTATCATATAGTTTCGCGATTTCAAAGTAAATACTGTCGTATGACGGCGTAACGAATTGTCGATGAACGAGATAATTAAATGAAACGCGATCGTAACTTATTCGTGTTCCTTTTGGTTTGAACGGACAAACAGCTTTGACGTATCATGGCTATTGAGAGGTTGCAAAGAGTACAAAAGATTGCTCCGATAGCGTGGAATCGCATATTGTATCAATTTACGTAGCGCAATTTAATCCGAATCTTAGAGCGCGCGTCCCGAATTATTAGACGATCGTTCCGAATCGAGTTGCATCCATTGAATTGCAGTCTTGCGGCAGACGATTCGACGTCTTGCGCGATAAGTATATATATAGACGTTGTACAAAGCGGAAATGATATCGAAAGAATACGGTCACGGACGAATATTCCGAGTGAATATCGAAGGACTAACCGAAGGATGCGGGACGACACTCGCGAATCGCGTTCGGCGAGCAACGAGCTTCGCGAAGGATCAACAGTTCGCGATTCGATAACTGTATAATGCTACGAGCGCTGATTGAACGGAAGAACGTTTCCGCGGGACTCGTAGCTCGCCAAAGCGCCCCTACGCGATTACCACCGCCGATAAAAATTAATAACAGTCTCTTAACGCACGAATAACTATGGTAATGACAATTTTGGTGAAATTCAGTTGTGACGGTTAGTTCGACGGTTAGCAGAAACCTTACTGAAGTTCGCACTTTTGCACGCAGGAAGAATATATCAACAATTGTCGGTTACGTGTAACGGCACATATATGAACGTACGCAAAGTGTAATTACATCGTCATATATTTAGAATACCATGATGTCTTGTGAGTGTGTATATACAGGGTGTTTCGGAATTATAGATAGAAATTTAATTGGCTAATAGAGACCAAAGAAACAAATGAGAGCGAATCCTAACAAACGTAGATCCGCTAAATTAATCGTTTTCAAAATATTCAGTTTTTAATTCCGTGAGATCTCTACACAATTACATATACTCGAATAACTGATATTTCAGATATTATAGTATCAGCAATCGCAGAATTAAAATTCGATGGTCGCAGTTGCGAAGTTCGATATGTACAAATCTGCAACTTTTTAATATTGTCTTTTTTTTGTACAATTTCGTGAACGAAATTAGATTAGATTTATTTTCAGAAACATCAAAATCAAGAAAGATACTTCTCACTGTTACTTTTGTTCTTAAAGTTACGCGTTAGATTTATGAAAAATATAAAATTCAAGTCTTTACGACATTACCAATCTAAAATTATCATAGATCAATTTTTACCTCAATCCAAAGACGACCGATATTTTGTTCCGCGTTAACCTAATATTGCCGATTGATCCTCAACTCCAAGAAGAACGAGCGCACGTCTATCAAAAGCGCAAAAATCTCAGCTTCTCAACAGTCCAAATTTCAAGTCGCTACGACCCCTAGAAGTCGAGGTATCGACCAGTGTATCGAGCCGCGCACTCGATCAGCTTGGTGCAAGCGAAGCGACACCTGCTGCGTTCCTACGCGTGAATGGGAGCG